ATATAAAAAAAAAAATTAATAACAATTAAAATAATATAAAAAATATTTAATTAATTATTTTAAAAAAATTACATATAAATATTAATATTTATATTTATATTTAAATATATATATATATATATATCTTTTAAAATATAATGCATTTGCTAAAATTTTTTTTAATATTTTTTAGATATTGAATAAAATTAAATTTAATTTAAAATTTTTAATTTTTTTAATTATATATTTTTGTTCTATTTATATAATAATTTTTTATCTTATTTGAATTAAATTTTTTTTTTTAATTTTTTTTTATTATAATTTTAATATAATATAAAAATTTATTAAATGAATTTGGATTTATTAATTTATAATTTATATTAAATATATGAAATAAATGTCATTAAATATTTTATCTAATTATTTTTTATAATAATATTTATATTTAGTTATTTTAATTATATATAACATTTTCATTTGTATTTTTTATATATTTTTGTTTAAAAAAATTAATATAGTTTATATAAAAGTTATAATTATATAATTTGTTAAATTATATTTTATATATTATAATTATTATTACATTAACGTTATATATAAAATTATTTCTAATAAACTACATAGATTTTTTCGATATTTATTAGTCTAATAAATTTATCAATTTTTTATTTTAATATTAAATATAATATACTTTTTATTACTATATATTTACGGTTTATTTTTTAAAAAAATTGAAGATTTTTAATAAATTTATAATTAATTTTTTTTATTTACTTTTTATAAAATTTAAAGTTATATATAGAAAACATTCAAAAAAAATTATAAATATTAACTGAATTTATATTATTTTAATAAATTTAATAATTATTATTATTACTATAAATTATAATTAAAATAATTATAAACATATATTTATACTTTTTATTTTTTTTGTATATTAAATATAATCTAATAATTAATTCTTAATAAATGTATTTTTTTGTTTTAATATTTCTTTAATTAAATATAAAGAATGATTTTATATATATATACAATATATTATTTTTTATTTATTTATTTCAGTATATTTAAGGAATATCATATAGTATTTTACTAAAAAATCTTACTAAATATTATATTTATTATTTTCTACATATTATTAATTAATTGAATTATTATTTTTTTCTTTTTGTTTTTCTAAAATTTGTATAAATATTACTTTTTAGTATTTAGATATTTCCTAGCATTATTTAAAAAAAAAAATTATAAATAAAAACCTCTTCTTTATATACTAAACAAAATTTCTTAATATTTCACAGGAATTAACTAATTTGAGTTTAAATCATTCTGCCTCGAAATCAATATTCTTCTCAACATAAATCTGAAGTTTTTTATGTTTAATATTTGTAAAAAATTAAATTTATCTCTTTATCATTCTTAAATTATGCTAGAAACAGTTAATAGATTGTCATTATTAATTTATTATTATTATTATTATTATTATTTATTTAATAAATTTAATAATTATTTCAAAGAGTTTTATTTTTTTCCGAAAATATTTAAGAGCTTATACAATTTGGAAGTTAAGTTAAGAAATAAAGAATTAATAATTATAATTTTTTTAAAATAGAATTAATTAGAATTAAAGTAATATAATATAAAATTTTTAATATTATCAAACAAATATTTTTAAAAAATATATTTTATAAATATATTTATATTTTATTTATTATTATATGAAAGTTTTTTAATTTAATATTACTATCTTTTTAAAAAAAACATAGTATAATAAATAATATATAAAGTTAGTAATTAATGATTTTTTTTATGCCTATAAATATTAAATTATATATAAATATAGTAATAATAGAATATAAATTAAACAAAATATAAAAAAAATTAAAAATATAAAAAAATATAAAAAACTCTAAAAATTTATATGTAATTTTTTTTAATTTTTATTTTAAAATTAATAAAATATTTTTTTAAATATAATATTAAAATTATTTATTTTATAAAGATATTTATTTTTAAAAACAGAAAATTATATATATTAATTTAAATTATTAATATTATAATATAATTAATATATATTTTAAATATTAATAAATTCTTTATATAATAATTTAATAAATCTAATAAAAAAATACATGTTTTTATATAGAAATAATAATTATTAAATTTTTATTTTCAAAAATTACAAAAAATTTATATATCTAATTATTTTATCTTTTTTTCATAATTTATTTAAAAATAATTTCTATTATAATTTTTATTTAAAGATTAATATTTTATAATTCTTTTAATTATAATAGTAAAAAAATACTTAAACTATTTACTAACCTATAAAAAATATATAAAAAATAAGAAATATAACATTTAAGTAATTTAAAATGATTATAAATATAATAAAACATTATTTTTTTTTGAAAAACAAAAATAAAAAATATAATTTTATAAGATATTTTTTAAATTAATTTTGTATATTTATATTTTTATTAAATAAAAAGAAAATATAATCTATATAATTAAATTTACAAATAAAAATAAAAAATATGAGAAATTAATAATATGATATATTACCTGAAATTTAAAAAGATACTTAAAATTATAATTTAATATTTTCATAATTATCAGATTTAATAACCTTTGTTAAAAAAACAAATTGCTAAATAGAAAATAGTAATATATAATCATATGAAGTGAAAAATACTTAAGTAAATATTGTTATAAGAAGATTATAGGATTATTTATCAGAATAAAATTAAAAAAATAAAGAGTTTAAATTATTTTAATTAATGAAGTTTTTAACAAAAAAAATATGTTTTATGGATTATTTTTCGGTATAATAACTAATTTGATTGGTTTATTTTCTATTTATTTGTTAGATCTAACTACAGAATCAATTAAAAAAAATTAAAAAAATATACTAGAAATTTCTATTTATATATGTAGTCTTATACTTTCATAATTTACAATGAACGTTTTTTCTACTTAATACCAGTGGTTCGGTGCTAAATGGAAATCGAATTCAAGAAGCAGTATTTAATATTTAGCCTATGAAAAGTCTCTTCGATAATAATTAATCGTTGATGCTAAAGAGTAAAATAATACTCCAGATAACGTAAATATAATGACAGTTGATGTTGATTGGGTATTGATGTTTTTTTAAGGATTTATAGAACTTGTCGCTAATATAATTACAATATCCATAATATTAGTAATGCTTTATAAATAAATCGGAGAAGCCATTTATTTTGGATTATACGTTCTTTTAGCTTCATTATTATTAAACTTTTTAATATGTTATAGTATGACTTTTTTTTTTTTGAAACAATATAAAATGAAAGACAAAAGAATAAAAATAAGTAAAAGTGTAATTGAAGGAATAAAAAGCATTAAATATTTAGGTTGGGAATAGATTTTCTTAGACAAAATTATGAAAATAAGATCTAATGAATTTAAATATATTTCAACAACAAGATCTTTGGATGGAATTTTAACTGTTTTTTGGAATAGTGTATCTTATTTTCTTCTCTTTTTTTTCCTTAATTAATATATGAATATAAACGATAACTAATTATAAATACAAATATTTTTACAATTATTTCACTTTTTAATTATTTAATAAACCCTTTAGGAATGCTCCCTTGGAATATTGCAACTATTATAAAATCTAAAATGAGCTATGATAGAATATATAAATTCCTAAATTAAAAAGATATAGATGTTTCAAACATAAACTATACTAATGAAAATTAAATTGCTATTGAAATTAATAATATTGTATTTAATTGGCCAAATAATTAAATGAAAAAAAATAAAAAGCAAAAGTAAAATACTAAAAATATGAAACTAACATAACCACTTATTAACGAAATTGATAATTTAAACATAGATATAGATAAAAATTTTATTTTATAAATAGAAAATTTGTAAATATTAAAAGGTTCGATTACGTACATTATTGGAAAATCAGGTATAAAAATTAATAAAAAAAAATTACAAATAAAAAAAAGGATCTGGAAAGACAGCATTAATAAATTCTATTTTAAATGAAATGGATTCTTATACTTTAGATAATTAAATAAGCTTAATATCAGACACAAATTAATCTATAATTAATAAATAAAAAGGGATAAATATAAGTGGAACTATTGCATATGTTTCTTAAAATCATTGGTTAGTAACTAAATCTATAAAAGAAAATATACTTATGGGAAAGGCTTTTGATTAAGAGTTTTATACTAAATGCATAGACGTATGCGAGTTAAGATAAGATTTAGCTAATTTTGATAATTATGATGAGCATTTAGTTGGTCCAAACGGAGATAATTTAAGTGGAGGCTAAAAATAACGTATTTCATTATGTAGAGCTGTATACTAAGATAAATAGATATATTTATTAGACGATATTTTTAGCAGTTTAGATTTTCATGTTTGTAAAAATATACTTTAAAAATGTGTATTTGAGTTTTTGAACGGGAAAGGCAAAACGATAATTATGACAATAAATTAATTTGGAATTATTTTTGGATAAAATAGCGATATTATAATAGATACTAATTAGTTTATATATTTAGAAGAAGGTAAAATAATAAAAGAAGAATAAAGAATAGAAAGTTTTATAAGAAATGGAATAAAAAAAAGTAATGAAGCAAAAGAAGAATATGAAAAAAGAAAATTAAATTAAATAAAAGAAGAATAAGATAATGAAAAAAAATATAATACAGAAAGCAAAGATAATATTTTAATCGAAAAAAATGAAGAAAAAAGAGAATAAGGTATAAAAAAAGACACTATTCTTGTTTATTTCAAATCTATGAATTTTTTTTGTCTTTTCATGTTTCTTATTTTTAATTTTCTAATGCATGCAAGTCAAATTATAATAGATTTTTGGCTTAGAGATTATATATTTCCTTCAAGTCCTTTATTCCATAATCTAAACATTTTATTTAATAACTAATTTTCAATGATATTTATTTTACTAATTTTTTTAAATCTATTTCTTACTATTCTGAGAGCTTTTTTTTATATTATTTGTGCTTTGCTGTCATGCTAAAGGATTTCTAAGAGATTAAACAAATTTATTATATTTAGTAAAATGACCTTCTTTGATAAAAATCCCTATGGAAGAATTATTAATAGACTTTCCGATGATGTTACTACAGTAGATGATCCTCTACCTTGGTCTTGTCATGTAATAATGGAATAAGCATCATATGTACTTGGGTATCAAATCGGTATAGCAATATAATTTCCTTGGATATTGATAATATTTTTATTTATTTTTTACTTATCGTATAAGATATAAAAAAAATTTAGAGTTTCTAATAGAGAAATAAAAAGATTAAATTCAGTAAATTAAGGGGTTGTTTTAACACATTTGAGCGAAAGTTGTAAGGGAGTAGTTTTGATTCGCTCTTTTAATAATTAAAAATATATGAATAAAGAATATTTACAAAAATTAAGCCTTTCTAATAATTCTTTTCTACTTACTTAGGCTATTTATTTGTGGATGGTTGTAAGATTATTATTAATAAGCAATTTGTCTTTGCTTTTTGTCGGAGTTTCTTCTATCTTTATTATTTTAGGAAAATTTAGTATTTAATATAATACTGTTGCTATGTGTTTGACTTATTCTATGTTATGGTCAAGTCGTTTAGCCAATTTGATAAATATTTTTTGCTAGGCAGAATCTAATATGATTAGTATGGAAAGGATTAGTTAATATTTTCATAATCCTTAAGAAAATTTGAATGCAAAAATCGGTTAAAATTAAAATAGTTAGGAAATTCAAGCTTATTAATAATGTGGTAATGAATAATATGTAGTTTAATTTAAAAATGTTATGTTTACTTATAATAATATTAATAAAGTTAAACAATAATATGCTCTTAAAAACTTTAATTTGGCAATTAAAAAAGGAGAAAAAATAGCCATTTGTGGTAGAACTGGTTCTGGTAAAACATCGGTTTTAAATGCACTTTTTAATATGTATAATTTAGAGTCTGGAGATATATTCCTTAATTCTGTTAATATTAAATCCATGACACTTTCTGAGCTAAGATAATAAATATCTATTATTCCTTAATTTGGATTTCTCTTTAATGCTTCATTAAAAGATAATATTGATCCTTAGAATTAATACTCAAAAGAATAAATATAAGAAAAAACTCAGAATATAAATTTATTTATAAGAAATCAGAAAGACTATGATTTTGTCATTTAAGATGATAACTTATCAAATGGAGAAAAACAAATAATTAATTTCTTAAGAATTGCTATTAAAGATACTTAAATTGTATGTTTAGATGAAGCTACTTCTAACATCGACGCTTAAACTGATTAAAAACTTCATGAATAATTATTTGAATATACTAAAGATAAAACTTTAATTGTTATTACACATAGGTTAGAAAATATTCATCATTTTGATAGAATATGCGTTTTAGATAATGGGGAAATTCTCGAATAAGGAAACATTGAATAATTAAAATAGAACACAGGAGGCTTTTTTAATAGAATCACTAATTAATAATGAAATATTATTTATTAAATATAATTGTATTTAATTAAATTATATATAATTTTTATTTTTTTAAAATATAACCGAAATTTTAAATATTTAATTCATTTATTTATATTTTTATATTATAATTTTTTTTAAGCTTATCACAAATATTTATCCCAATTATTATGGTCTTTCGCTTTATCCTTGATTTATTTTTATTAATTTTCATTTTTAAGTTTATCTTTAACTAATCTTTCTAACTTTTCTTATTTTTATCCTAAATAAATTTGTCTTTTAGACAGAACTTAAGGAACTTTAAGTTACCTATTCATTAATTTATCCTTTTTTATAAAAATAAAAAATATATTAATAATGGATTTACAAAATAAAAATTATCAAACCAAGTATTTGCTTTAAGATCTGAAAATGAGTCTCCTAATCTTAAATCAGGAGTTTTAATAAGAAATTAACTTATAATTTGTTTTCATTTCTTATTTTTTATATCTTTTATAAACTCTGGATAAGTTATTACTATTTTTGCAATTTCTTCATAAATTTATATATATATTCAGCATCTTCTGCAAAAAAGACTGTTCCACATACAAACTCATATAAATAAATTTTTATTAACCATAAATCAGCATTATATGTGTAACTTTTTCCTGTTATAATTTCAAGTGCCATATAAATGTGGAGTGCCAATAATTGTAAAGTTTTTCCTCATTTCCCTTATAAAATTTTATCAATTAATTTAATATAAGCCTAAAAAATAAAATATATAAAATAGATTAATATCAGAAAAATAGGAATACTTTAAAATCAACCATAATATTTTCAGGCTTTTTATATCTTAAAATAGTATTGTTAGTATGCAAATAATTAATACATAATAATAAAGAACAAATATAAAATTAAGAATCTGAAACAGTAATCCTTTTTATTTTTTCATAATAATTAATATATTTATTTATTTTAATAAAATATTTAATAAAATTAAATAATTCGAATCATTTACATATTCATTATGGAAATAAATATTATTATTATCTTTAAAAGAGCACATAAATTTATAACCTAAGGAAATTATGCACATTCTAATACATTTTTCTCTTAAAGTAAATACTTTTCTAAATTATACTCTATTAACTAAGCTTTTTAAATAAATTTGAAAGCATAATGTAAGCTATCAGTTTTAGATTTTACTAAATATACATTCCAAATTAACCAAAACCTATATAATTTGTAAGAAATATGTAAAAAAATAAATTATAAAACCTGGCTTTTTAGTTAAAATCATATATTCTAATTTAAGGCGGTAATATTTATTAATTTTTTTAGACTCGGCTCTTTTCATATATTAACTTTAAGAAATCCTTATTTTTTTCAAAAATTATTTCAAGAGTCTCCAATCATTAAAAAAGTAATTTAAATCTGATTTCTGTAAATAATAAATCAATTAGAAAAGAGAATTTTTTTTTTTAATTTTTCATTTGAATTTTTCGCATATAGTAAATAAATATCAATAAAAAAGCTATTTTAACATCTAATTTTTAATTTTCTTCTTCATTTAGAGTAGAGTTTTTTTTAATTAAAATAAAAATGAACAAAAAGTTTTTACATTTTTTATACATATTCAATTCCTCCTACAGATTTTATTCATAGGTTATTCTTGTTAAAAAAAGTTTTTCCATTGTTATATTTTACTTATATTAATTTTATATTATCTTTTCTCTTTAAAACATGAAATATTTTTTAATGTATTATAAAAATTAAATGCTTATTTTATACTATTATATACAATAATTACTTATATTTTGTTATATAATACACTTTTAAATATTTCTATACCAATATATAAATCTAATATAGTTCATTGTTATGTTAACTGTTACTCACATTTTTAATTTTTAAAAAGTACTTATTCACATTAGAATTTAGATAATTTTATTTAGGATTTTATGTAAAAAATCATAATAAATTTTTATTAAACTTTTTCTAAACTTTAATTTTAATGTCTATTAAAATTTAATTTTGATAAATTAATATTATTATTATTATTATTATTAATATTATTATTATTTTTATTATTATTTTATTTTATAATTATTTACTTTTATTTACTTTATTATATTAGTATTTTTTTAATTTTTAATATATTTTAATTTTTTTACTTATTCTTCATATATAATTTTTTTATTATATTGGAATTCATTCATTTATTTACTTAAATAATAATATCTATTTTGTCTGACATATCTTTTTCACTTATAATAATACACAAAATATTCTTTTTTAAAAAACATATTAATTTTTTAAACAAATTATAATATCAATGATACAGAAAAAAAAAATTATTTTATTTTTATTATATAAAATATATTTATTATTATAAAATCTAAATTAAACTTTAAAAATGCATATTTAATAAAATGATTTAACAATTGGAAATTTTTTAAATATTAATTTATATTTAAAATATTTTTTTTAGATTGACAATGAAATTTATTTTCAAATTTATATAATTAAAATAAATAATTGGGCACGATATTTAAATGTTTTTTTTAGATTTATTAATTTAACTAGAAAATGTTTGAACTGAAAATCAATAATTTATATTTAGTAATCTGATAAATTTCTGGAATAAATATTATAAAATACACTTTAAATATTTATATTATATTTATATATTTTAAAAAAAATATATATGTAATTTATTAAACATAAACTAAAAATTAGTGAATTTCGCTTTTTTTACCAAGCTATTTTTTTTTGCTTAGTTCAAATTAAGAGTATGTTCCTCATAAATGTGTTTAAGCTTAATTAGCCAATATTTTTTTTTAATTTTAATAGCATGATTCCACTCTTTAAATATATATTTTTTTTTTGAAATGCCATAAAATAAAATTAAAAAAAGGTTTGATTTTGAGAATATGAACTAAATAAAATTATTATTTTATGGAATAAAATATTTAATTTACCTTTATATTTAATTAGATAAATAAGAAAATATTATGAATTTATTAAAATTAAATATAATGAATGTTTTTATTTTAAAAATTAATATATATTCAAAGAACTATTTTAAAAAATGAAAATTATTTATATTTTTTCTATAAATATTTGTTAAAATTTTTTAACAATAAATATTTTTTTATTATTTGTATAATATGTTTTAATATATTTATTTTATTTAAATTTCAATATAGGTCTTCATATTTTTTAAGTTCTTCATAAAACTCTACATAATTAAATTCAACTCCTTAATGAGCGAATCTTTATAAATTTAAAATAATATTTTATATAAACTTAAAAATAATATAATGTAGTTTATTACCTCTTGCATAGTATTTTATACTAATCATCTGTTAAAGGTAATTTATGGAAATCTAATATTGATCTGAATCTAGTAAAGCTTACTTTTCCGCTTTTAGCAACATCCTAAATAATTAAAATAATTATTGGTTTATTAAAATAAAAAAAAAAAAACCTTATCTTAGAAATGAGTTTTAAATATAATTCTATGTTTTTTAACAACTTCTCCTAAGCGCAACATAAGATGATGCAATTTTTCTTATTCATTTGTATTCAATGCATCTCTAGGATCAGTAACAGTTTTTTTCTCATAAGAAACTGGTTTCGTAATAGGGTCTTTTTCAAGTCCAGATTTAGTAAATACAATATTAACATCTTCCAAAAATTAAGCATAATTCAATTTAATAGGTTAATCAGGTAATATATACATATTTTCTAATTTTATAATTTATTCTTCACTTAAATCAATTCTTAAAATTTTAAATAATTTATTAAAATAAAATAATAAAATAATAATAAAAATAATAATAATAATAATAATAATAATAATAATAATAATAATAATATAATAATTAAATTAATTACTTCATTTAAGAAATAACCCCTCTAAACTTATTAGTAGGAATGATTCCTTTACGTAAAGAATCATAATCTTATAAATATTCTCCAATTCTTAATCTATTTATTTTTACATTGTTTTTTATTTCTTCTAATAAAACTAAAGAATCGACAGATCGTCTTTTATTATCACTATCGAAATTACTTTAATCTTTAGTTTCTTTAGCTGACCAAAGTTTTTATTCATAAACTTTAGTATCTTTAATAAAATCAACATATCTTACATCTTTTTCATCTTCAGATGCATACATACGAACAATTGCATTAAATTCTTCATCTGACATTGTGAAATTAACTGTTGTTAAAACTTATCTGAATTGTTTCGGAGTTACTTTATTTCTTCCGTTTCTATCCCAATCTTTGAAGAATTATTTTATGTCCATTCTTGTTGCTTGGCAGAAGAAACTTAAAAAGTTAAAAATTAAAGATTTTTTTAATAAAAAAAATAAACCTAAATCTATCTTTTAAATATTCTGCTATTTCTATTTCTTATTAAGTTAAATTTTTTCTACCGTATTAATAAACAGTAGAAGGTACAATTACAGGTTCAGTTGCTTTCATTTTCTCCAGATGTTTTTTCATAAAAATTTCATCAATAACATCACATAAATCTCTCCAACACACATGATCTTCTTTATTTTGAGAAGAAAAATTTTCAACTAGTAAATTAAATTCAGTATCAGAAAGTGGTAGTTTAGCCATATTTAAACCTAATCTTAATTAAGTTTTAGTAATATTTCCACTTCTTAATTTATCAAAGTCTCTTAAAAATTCAGAAATTCTAATTCTTTATTCTTTTACTTTATTTCTTAATTTAGCTATTAAATCATCTATATTATTGGGGACTTCATTATGGATAAAAGGTTAAAACTCTTTTTCTGGCTTCTTAAAATTTTTAAAAGATTCGGCATAGGCTTTACTCACTTTAACACCTTCATCATAAATATCAACATCTCGACAAAATTCGTAATAATTAACTTCATCAAGGGTACCTTTATCAGTATATCTTTTTAAAATTAGATTTAAAGCTTCTTTATGAGGGAATAAGTTAAATTAATTTAGAATTCTTAAAAATTAATTTTTAGAAATATATCCTTATTTTGTTTTATCAAAATCTTCAAAATGAGGTTTTATTAAAATTCTCTTGTTTTGAATTTCTTTATGATATAAATTCAATAGATTATTTAATTCATGTTATTCATGTTCATTTAAATGCTTTATTTTTATTAATATTTTTCAAAATAATAATATATTTTACTAAGTAATGTCTTCTAGCAGGTAATGTTGTTTCAGGTTAAAATTATGTTACATTAAATAATGGATCTTTATCAATTTATTTTTTAGTAAAAATTTCATCTACTGCTTCACAAAAATCAGAATATCTAACATGTCCATTTGGAATATTATCAATTTTATATATATGAAGAAGCTATTCGATTTCACTTTCACTAATATTAATATTACTTATATGTAAAACTCTTCTAAACTAAAAAATAAAATATATTAATTTATGTGTATAGTATATAACTTTAATTTACTTAAGATTCTGATACTATCCCTTTACGTAAAGGATCATAATCTTTATAAAACTCTCTAATCCTAATACGTTTCATAACAACTTCTGCTTAAATTTTTTTAATTACGTCCTCAAAGACATTGTTTTTTATATTAAGTTTTTTAGATGTATAAAGAGTATTCATAAGTTTCAAATCAGCAGTGTCTTCTACATAGTCTTCATTTGGATCATGAACAACTTCATTAGGTTTAATTCCTTTTACTACAGATTCTAACATTTCAGAAACATTATCTACATCATCACAAAACTTAACATAATTAACTTCTTTTACGTTTCCATTATCTATATATCTTCTTATTAATAAGTTAAAGAAGCTTTCTGGAGGTAATAATCCTAACTGTGTAAGTACTCTTGAAAACTAATCAACTGTAATATGAGAACATCTAGTCCTGTCAAAATCTTAAAATGGTTATTTTAATAAAATTCTTTTGGTTCTAATTTGCTATTTTATTTCTAAAAGGATTTATTAAATAATATTTAATTCTTATTAGGATATTTACTATTTTTTAATAAAAATAAAATTATTTTATATTATATAAATTATTTACTGATGCACTCTTCGTACTTTCTAAATTTTCTTTAGCAAGTTCATAATCTAAAAATTAAGCATCTATTTAAGTACAAAATTCTACATATTTTACAAGATCAGGTTCCTACTTATATTTATTGATTAAATATTGTATATCTTTTTCAGTTAGATGCATTCCTAACATTGATAATGCTGAACGAAACTATTAATTATTATTATAATTAAATAATAAAATGTAACTTATAATTTAAAATATTATAATAATTACCTTATCTTCAGTTACTGTACCTTTTCTAAGTCTATCAAAATCAAAGAAAAAGTCTTTAATTCTTATTTGCTTACGAAAAACTTCTGCTTTTATCAACTTCTCTATATCAGTATTAATTGCAATAGTATTTTTTGAAATATTGAAGCGACTGCCTTCCACTTTTTTTTAATAAAAATTTATAATAAAATTTTAATAATTAAATTAATTCATTATTATTTTTTGGGAATAATTATATTTTGTTTACATGCGTTTAAACCGTTTTACTATAATAGGGTTGCCATATATTGTCTTTATTTTTTATTTTGTTTAAATATTTTTTTTATTTTTTATTTATATTATTTTAGAAATATAAATAAAATTTGTATATTTCTGTTTTTTTTTTATCAATATAAGCAAATTGTTAAAGTTTTATTTTTTTAATAATAAATAAAAAATTAAATATAAATAATCATAATCATTATTACAAATAATAATTATATTAATAAAATTAACTTTTATATTTATTTTCTCTAATTTTAAATTTTTCATTAATAATATATTTTATACAATTATATATCTTAGATATATATTTATATTTTTAATGCAATAAAAATTAATGCATATATTTATTTTTAATAATATTATATTTAATCCTTTGAGTTTAATAAACATATACTTAAATATAGCTTATTATAAAAATTAATAAATAAATTATCAAATAAATAAGGCTTTTCATATTTATTTTTTAAATCACAATCACAATCACAATCAGATAAAAAATATTTTTATATTGTCGTAAATACCAGAAATTTTAGTAATTTAGCGATATAAATCCCTACAAAATTAAATTAAAATTTTTTAATACAAAATTATTGTTAAATTTAATTTTTTATCAAAAATATTTAATAATAAATTAATTTATTTAAATAAAATATTATTTATATTAATTTAAATTTATGTTATTTAAAAAAATATTATAGATTTTCATATTACTTGCCTAACGAATTATTTTTATATTGCATTACTTTTTAAAATAACTATTTATAAATAAAAAAATACAATATATAAGAAATAATATATTTATAAATATATATTTGTTAAATTATAGTTTAAGCAATTATTAAATAATTTAATTTTTTTAAAAAGTATGAAGCAATATAACCCTTAATATAATATAGGATTAGCAAATAAACATCAAAACAATACAACATATTAAAAATAGCAAGGTTAAGTTCCTTTATAGTAATCAAATAATATTAATACCTACTCTCGTTCGCAGAGTAGAAACTCTAATAATCAAAACGAAAATAACAATAATTTATCTAGTAATGCATAAGCTTTAAAGTAACATTTAGAAAACTAGTAATATTAAAACTTATAATAAAGAGAAAATAACAATAATAGCAAAATAAATTAATCTAACTTAAACTAAAACTTAAATAATAATAAAAATAATTTAGTTAATAATATAATTCAAAATACTATAAATAATAATAATTAAGCTAATAAAATGAATCTAAATAAAAATATTATTGATAAAAGATTTTAAAAAACATAAGAAATCACAAGAAAGAAAAAAAATTTCGAATGTGGAGGTTTTTAAAAAAATAAAATAGTTAATAAGAAATATCAAATATTTTTTTAAAAAACTATACTTATAGGGACTACTTTTTAAATTGATGATACATATGAGTACATAAAATAAATAGGGCATGGTGCGTATGGAGTAGTGTGCTCCGGATTTGATACAAAGGCTTAAAAAAAAATTGCAATAAAAAAAGTAAAAAATTTATATAACACAAATTATTTTTTTTATTATTAGATTACAAATGCGTTTGAAGATTTAGTTGATGCGAAAAGAATTTTAAGAGAGATCAAATTACTTAAATTTTTTAACCATGAAAATGTAATTTCTTTACATGATATTATTGTTCCTGATTAAAAAACTGGTTATGAAGACATTTATATTATAACTGAATTAATGGAAACTGATCTACATAGAGTAATATATTCACGTTAAGTAAATAGTTATATATACTTTTAAATTAAATTAAAATTATATAATTTTTAGAATTATAATTTTTTTTTTAAATATATTAAATAGTATATATATATTTTTAAATAAATTATTGCTAATAATAAACAAAAAATTATTAAAAATATATTTAAATTTCAATCGTATTATTTATTTATATTCTTTTTAATTTTTATTTAATATAATTATAATTTATTTTTATTTTTATCTTTAAATAAATATTAATTATTTTTAGGATTTAACTGATGAGCATATATAATATTTTTTATATTAAATACTAAGAGGAATGCTTTATATTCACTCTGCTAATGTAATGCATAGAGATTTAAAACCTTCCAATATTTTAGTAAATAAAAATTGTGATTTAAAGGTTTGTGATTTAGGCTTAGCTAGAGGTTTTGAAAACGAAGATGACACGAAAACCGAGTAATTTTTATTAAATAAAAAAATATTTTATACGAATAAATTAAAATAAAATTAATAAATTTTTATTAACATTTTTTTTACAAAAGATATGTTGTAACTAGATGGTATAGAGCTCCTGAAGTAATTTTAAAAGCTTCTGAATATACTAAAGCTATTGATGTATGGTCCATAGGTTGCATATTTGCTGAGTTATTAGGAAGAACTCCTTTATTCCCAGGTAAAGATTACTTAGAATAAATACAGAGAATTATAGCTATATTGGGAACTCCTACAAACGAAGAAATAAGCTATATTACAAACGAAGGAGCAATAAAATATATAAAAAGTTTACCTAAAAGAAGTAAATAAAATTGGTAAGCTTTATATCCGAATTCAAATGTTTAAGGACTTGAATTACTATCGAAAATGTTGACTTTTAATCCTAACGATAGATATACTATAGAAGAATGTTTAAGTCATTAATATTTTGACGGATTACATAATTCTGAAGATGAGCCGATTTCAGATTAAATATTTGATTGGAGTTGGGACAATTTTGAATTAACAAAAGATAAATTACAAATAATGGTTTATGATGAAGCTATTAGTTATTAATAATAGAAAAAATAACTATATTGATTAAGATAAATAAAAGGCATAATTTATTAATTTTAACTATAAATTTTGAAATAAAAATATGCAATAAAAAATTATAAATTTATATTATTTCTATTTATATTACTTAAATAATATATTTAATATTTTTTTAAAAATTATACTTAAATATAGAAGATTTATAAAAATAAATTCTTAAAATTTATGCAATTTAATTTATTAAATTTAATATTTATTTATTTAAATTTCAATCTTTATTTTATTATTACAACATGTAAAATGAAATTAACATTATTGCTAAATCATTAGTATAGAAAAAAGAATAGACAAAAAGAAAAAAGAAATACAATTTTTTAAATATTAAATAAATAAAATGCATGATGAATTACAAATTAAATTTTAGAAAAAAATATAAATTTTAATAAAAAGATATATGCAATATATAATTTAATTTAAAAAAGTTTAGTTTTTATATAAAATTCATAAAAAATGAAATAAAAAAGATATATAAAAAAAAGATACATATAAAAAAAAAAAGCAAAAATAAATTAAATTAAAAAAATAAAATTAATTTATAAAAATATATAAAAATAATATATATATATAAATTTATATAAAAAAATCAATATATATATAAGCAAATTTAAATATATTTATATACATATATAAATAAAAAATATATATATATATATAATTATATTTTTTTATTAATTTATATTTATTTATATATTAATATTTATATATTTTTATTTTTATCTATTATTTTACTTTTTTTTTTTAATTTTTTTTTTGTAAAATATTATATTACTAATTTTTTTATCATAATGTTTTATAATATTAATAATTTATTAAGAATAATTTTAAACAATAAATAATCCTTTTTAATTTATTTTTTCCTTATTTTATTTTAGTTAATTTTTTAATAAAAGATTTTATATTTTTTTGAAAAGCATTTTTAAATTTGCAAATTTTTTTTAATTCAATAATTTATAAATATACATTTTAATATTACATTAATATTTTATAATTTATAATAAAATTTCACATTTAAAAGTGAAATAATTAAATTTATTTCAAAATATAGAAATTAATATCAACTCATTAATTAAATTTTTAAGGAATAATTTAACATTTTTAAATAATAAAATTAATTATATTTCTTAAATTGAATATTTATAATGCCAATTATATTTTTAAAATAATTATCTATCAACTTCTTGACTTCTTTCTTTTATAAAAGCAAATAAATAGAATCAAAATATCGAAATCAAAGTTCTTAAAAATATTAGAAATTCGACTAAATATAAATATATTATTAAATTCTTATAATGTTTTAATGAATTAATATTTAGTATTAATAAGACAATATTTTGGATACTTATAATAATGATATCAATTAATAATTAATCATAATTAAGATTAAAATATAAAATAAAATTATAATTTAAAATAATCAAATTTTTATTATATCCATAAAAAATGTAATTGCTGCTATTATAACAAGGTTATTTGAAAATTTATGAATACAGTAAAAAATTTAAATAATAAAGAATATAGATTTAAAAATAAAATAAAATAATAAATTTAAATTAAATTTTCTTAAAAAATTATAGAATTAGAATAAATATTATTGATCTTAAACTAATAAATTTAATAAAAAGAAAATAATGTAAATATTGTAAATAAAGTTTTTAAAATATAGTTGAAAAAAATCCTAATATAAAAAATTTCTTATTTTATTATGTTAAAATATTGAAAAATTAAAAAAGAATTATTAATGAAAAATATATTTTTTATTTGGTTTAAAATAAAATTTTTTGTGTTTGTAATAAAAATTATATTTTGTTTAAAATAAAAATTGTTGAGTTTATAATATAGAATTATATTATTTTTAATAAAATAAAAAATATAAAATAAAATAAAATAAAAAATTTAGTTTATATATATTTTATTATATTTTTTTTAAATTAAATACATTATAATAATAAAATCACTTGACATTTTTGTTAAGAAGACAGCTATTTTTTCTGATTTTAGATTGTACTTTTGATACAACTATTTAATATATTTTAGTAATCTAAAATCAAATTTTATTAAAAGTAATAAGCGATACTAATTTTTGATTTAATTAATTCTATTAAAATATCAACTAATATTTATATTAGTTATTATATTAAGATTTTAACAATTTTTTGTATAAATATATTTAAAAAAAAAAATTAATTTAGCATTAATAAAGATATAAATATATAATTTTTAGTAAATATTAAAATAAAGCTTTTTTGAATTTCTTGTTGAGTAAAGTTGTTGAGTAAAGTTAATAATTAAAATTGATTTTTTAAACTATTTAAAACTTTTATTATAATTTATATAAATATGTATTTGAAAATAAAAATAATTATTATAAAAAAATAAAAATTATAAATAAATTAATTTAAATTAGCCAAAAAAATTAAATAATGTTTATAAAAATAGCATTATTATATATTTTTTATTCAATTAAAAATAAAAATACTTAACAAAATAATTTATAAAGGTTGATATAAAAAACCCTTTTTTTAATATATAGAAAATACGAAATAATTTTATATTCTGATATGTAGATGAATTGCATCATTTTGTGCTTGTTTTTAAAAAAATTATTAGGTTATCGGAGTGTATTAAATTTAAAAAATATTTTCGTAAAAACAATTTTTTTTCTAAATTTATTTAAGTTTACATTAAAATTAAATATTTTTCTTTTTATTAAATATGAATTTTT